CGCTGAGAGAGCGAAACAGAAGACGGTATTAAATTGCCGTTTGAAACGAAACGATCTGGACTCTGAACGCTCTCTTCTTTTGTAGAGTTCTTTACTAAATGAAATAACTGAAATAAATTTCGTACTTTCCGCCGCCAACAAGAATTGCACACACGATCTGATAAGTGAGACAATTTATTTATAACAATGACGACAGTGAAGCACACATTATAAATGCTGATGTGGTCGCACGACTTCCCTCACGATTTGAAGTTTGAGACTGGTTTTCTGTTGAAATTCGTCTTAATTTGCCTGTTCCGATTTTAGTTGAAAATGAGCACCGGCAAATTTGGCAATTACTGAAGGCGTTGTTTGCTTTTTTGGAGTTAAAACGCAGCCATTTAGACATTGTTTATGTTCTGAATAAGCAGAGAAAACCCCGCAACATTTTAATGCGAGTTTCTTTGTTAATATTTGGGTGCTGTCATTGGTTCTTTTTTGACAATTGACGCGCGAATGGGGCGTGTTATGAAAAGGGGCGTTTTACAAAATACAGGTGTCACAGTGATACGAACATCCCCGTGTTTTGTGTATCCCCACACTAATATCCCTAGGGATAAAAGTACCCCCGGTGGGGATACCTACAACACTACAAGCGAAAGGATGCAATATTCAAAATATGAGCTCATTTATCTGTGCCTTTATTTTCCGGTATTTAAAAGTATTTACATTTTTACAGTTATTAAATGCTGCAGTAAATGTGTATAATGTGATTGTACTTTTGTTGTAAGATAGCATGTTCGCGTCGCATAAATTGGTGTAGAACATAGTGTAGAATTACTCTTAACATTAACTCATATGGCTCCGTAATCCGTATTACTTGATTTCCGACGTATATGACAGGAAGTTTAAATATTACAGAACTCCGCGAGTATTTGCAGTAGAAATACGAAAGTACCACCAAAAAAATCCGCTTGTAAAGTTCTATGAAATCGAACAATGTAAAATAGCCATAAATTATAAACTAGGCATACTTGAACAATGTAAACTCACCATACCATACTATATACAATATTAAAACTCGAAGAATGTAAACAATGCATCACTAAGCCATACCTTTCGCCGAATATAACTTCGGCCCCTTTCAACATATCTTTTTGGTATTAGTCTTGTTCGGAACACAATCCAACACACTATTTAGAGTGTTATTTTCAAGCTTGTATGTACAGTTCTGCATGTTTTATTTCCCGCGAAATGTTAGGGATACTTGTATCCCTAGTGATGTGGGAATGTAGGGTGGTTCTTTAGGGATACGCAGAACACGACCGCCATATTGCCGGGGATACACATATCCCTAGTGAGGTGAGCATGGGGATACACAAATCCCTAGTGATATTAGTAGGGGATACACAAAACACGGGGATACTCTACTGTGACACCTGGCCTTGCTTGCAGGCCAAACAGGTGGGCAATTTGTCGACGCTGACCAAAAATAGCGGCTCATTTCTTCTTGAGTTGCCATTTTCGCGTCGAAGAGCAAAAATATAGACTTTCGGAGAATATTTTAGCTGTTTACTATCAAATATGTTTGTGAAACAGTTGATAATCTCACTGAGGAAGGCCAACAGTTTCTGAAAAGCTAAAGTACGTCGAAATCAGCGTTGGAATAGACTATATTTTAACCGGGGAAGCATGAACTAAATGGATATTTACATCAACACTAAATTTCGCTCGTGCCTACAGAGCTAGTGGGATTAAAACAGATGTTAAGAAGTAAGTGAAAATGTGAATTTTGTGAATTATAGTTTCATTAAAATGTTTCAGAAGGGCTGCTAATATCAAACTACACGTGTGACACAGCTGCCAGTATACCTATATTTCAATGTTTATGTTGAAATGGCCCATCTTCTTTGAGGTATAGCTTAAAAATTAGGGTATGCTCATCACTTGAAATTAGCTTTAAATCAAAGTTTTATCCATAGTCTTTTTATTAGAATTGAAATCATTCATTGGAAAAATGTGCCAGAGGGTTGAAATTGCCCTTGTAAATGTACACTATTTTTTATATGTTTTGGTTAATATTTTGAAAAGGTGTTCTGGAAGGAAAATATGTCTTGAACAATACTGGTTGACCCTTTAATTATAACTAGTGTTATGTAAATCACAGAAAATTGAAAAAAGTCTGGTCCATACACAATAGTTTGGATTCTATGAGGTCCCGAATGTGGCTTATTTCAATGTTTAATCTGTTTACCTGGAAAAACATAGAAAATTGAATAAGTCAAGAATTTGACTATGCTCATCACCCAAAACCAGCTTTTTCTAATTGCTTTTTCACCTGGGTTTGTGGCAATACCAGTTATGCGACCACAAAAAATGCGTGCGGCACTTTTTTTGGACACTGAAGATGACAACATTTGGTGTTGTTATCTATTGCCATCCTCTTATCATGGTATAACTTAACTTATTTTAGTGAGTTTGTTAAATAATTGTGCTCACTATATGCCTGTAGTATCTAAGATTTTTTTCATAGCATTAGATGATAAATTTAAGTTCTGTTTTCTTTTATTTTTAGGTGATAGTATCTGTTCACATGTGTGTTGGTATCAAATTTTGCACAAGATTAATTATTATTTCACATTCCTTTATTGAAATATCCAAATAAATAGAATATGACATCAAGCTGGAGGACTAAATCCTGTTTCCAAACTTGTTTTTGTAAAAATAGAAAATAACAACTTATTATGTGTTGTTCTAATAAAAACTATTGCCTGTGATATGCATATTAAATTTTTGAAATTACATTTCATTCTTTGTGAAAATGTGTACCAGGAATAAGGAAATCTTTCAGATAAGCTAACAATACCTTTGTAACTTATATAACCAAGTGTTCTATCTATTTCTGTTCAGATTAAACAAATGATGGGTAAAATATTAGATTAGATTTTTGCCAAAAAATGACCTTGCCTGTTTTCAAAGCATAAAAAGCAATAAAATAAAGCAAAAGTACTTATTTTCAATTTAAAACCTTTGGAATGCATAGCTTAATGTTTTCCACTAAATATTACAAAGTTTTCGTTCATTAAAATGTTGTTTTATCAGCTTTAAAACCAGATAAATTCACGAAACACTCCTATAAATATATGTCGCCATATTGATTTTCTTCGCGCATGCTCAGACAAATTGCCCACCTGTTTTGCAGGCCCACTATAACTCACTATCAGTTCCCTTGGGCCTGCACGCGGGCTAATTGCACCACAATCACGTAAGCAACCTTAGTTCATTTGAATATTTCTTTTTTCAATGAAAAACACAATTAATACGTCTAAGTATGAAATACACAAAATATTCTAACCTGGTCCACTGTAAATTTCACCTATATGAAAAGAAATATACGTTATTATGACTGCCAAACAATGTACAATTCAAATAATTTGCCGGCCATTTCCGAAAGGTGCTAAAGGGGTTATACGGCGTTAAAACCCGGACAAAATCATAAATAAAAGACAACGTATTAACAATGTTTGATAGTTATAGATTGAAGCAGGATGGATTAACTTACCATTTTTATTGCTTGGTTTTATAGGCCCACCGAGGGAAGAATAGTCATGGACCTGCAAGGAAGACTACAACACAGATGAGGTATATTCAGATATGAATCTCCCGTCAAATTGCTGATTGTCTTGTGTCACACGGAATGACGGAATTCGCACTTCCGGCGAGCGCTGGCAAGTGTCGTTCTGAAATTTAACAAGGCGCTCTACAGAGCGTAGCCTGCTCACAGACGTTGCAGTTCTTACGCCAAGCGACGAAATACTACCGTCTGCTTACCCGAGCTGCATATTCAATTCCCTTTGTTTTAGGAGCCAATCATCTGGCAGTGTTCAAAAAAAAGTTAGAGCCAATTGGAAGGCGCCTTATTGAGAGATTAGCTACTGGGGAAAGCCCTTGCACATGCATTGGAATA